TAGGGTAAAGCAAGCACACGAGAACGACAAGACGACGCACCAATCAGATTGCGTCCTTGACATTCCGGCTGATCGATCGGACAACCGCTGGTTGTTTCGACAGAGAGAGAGAGAGAAAAAGACAAAGAAAAACGTAGATAAAACACAAGAATAGCAGAAAAAGCATAGAGCCGTTCGAGGGAGTAAATTAATGGACCGATGTGAACGGAGTTTGATAATTTCTCAGGTACACACTGAGTTTTGGAAGAGCTGAAATTTGCGCCGTCACGTTCAATCCTAGGCTGTTAATTGAGAGAGATAGAGAGACTAGAGCTCAATAATGTGCTCGTTTTTCGTCGATCACAAGTGATACTGTTTGATAAAGCTCGAGAAAATGGGCCAAATAAAGTACCGTGCATGATGGCATTATTAGCTAAGACATGCACGAGGATGTAATTAAAAGAGGGTGAAACACAAAACCTATTTGTGATGGGTAGCACTGATTGGGTTTTCATTAATGGCATTTTCCAAATGTTTGATCGTGAGATTAACTTTGGAGAAATAATCAATATTCCACGTGTTTCTCATGTCCCGAGTTTAGAATACCTTGCACACGATTGAACTTTTCAATGATGTCTAATTGGGAGGGAAGATTTCGCTTTTGAATGTCTAATTGACGTATCGTTTTTTGCAAAACTGGTCCCCACCTGAGACGTTCAGTCAGTCGGTGTGAGTGAATGAGAATAGCTCCTTTGTCATATCCGTTAATCTACTAATTTTCTTCCAAGCCGGGGTTGTAAACTGCTTTCCCTCGATCGATTTCTCCTCCTGGTATATTTTAGATCTGCTCCGTATCTGATCCCTTTTCGGACGGACAGGCTATTAGTTGGATGAAGGAAATCCGATAGAAAAGATCTAGCACTACTTATCGGTTTGCCTGATGACATATTACGTAATCTTGACGAACACACACCCCCATAGTTATTTTGTCGGTTTCAAAATAGCTATCTTTAGAACACTTTATATACTGTCATCATGACACAGTGGGAATGATAGAAATAGAATACTTACTTGCATAACTATAAGCTCAGACACAAGTTTCGGCGCATCTATTCAAAAACTCCCATACTGGGCAGTGTTGACACTTACGAAGACAAATGATCAAGGTCGTCAGAAAAACACCGTGCTTATATAGAGTTTTCATCCCAACCCTCCACTGCCGCGGGTCTTCTCGTTTGTTGTACTCACCTGTACAGTCTTTGGTAGACCACAGCAGTACTCGTGTAAAGGGAACACCTGTTTCTTTGCTCAAAAAGGAAAAAGAAATGAAACTTCAATCGTAAATCATTTTGAAATATACTATGATTTAGTGTACAACATTTGAAAAGACCAGTTTGGCTTTACTACACGCCTAATGCAACTCGACTCATTTATGCCGTGACCATTTGCTTCCTGTGAATTATAAACGAGCAGTGTAAGCCGTTTGAGGTTTCAGTGGCGACGAAATTCCGGTTGAGTTTCATTTCACTTGTTCCTGAGACAATTACGATTATTTTATCGATCTGTCAATCCAGTTCATCGGATTTGTTTGCATGACCCGAAACGCAGTCTGGTTGAATGGATCTTGTAGAATGCATCCCGAAATTGGTCAATCCGTGGGGTCTGTTCCAATTGGAAAAATTCACATCAAGGCTAAGAAAAAACACGCAGAAATATGCCATTTTCATTCGTGCTTTACGTAAATTAGACTCTGTCAGGGCTGTCGCTTTTTTACAACAAAAACAGCAGCAATTGCTACTACTTCTACCAATGCTACTACTACTCACATTTGTGAGTAGTAGGTAGTTGGTGATTTATTTCGACGATAAAAGATTAACCAGATTACCATGGGTAAATTGCTGTATCTCAAATAATAAATACCGCTACCACTACCGTTTTACTTCAAAAGTTCAGTGCTGGCTCGAGGAATGTTGATTGTCGCGAACCACAGTGCGGATAAATTGGCGTACACAAGATGTCTCATTTGGAATGTGTCATTGAAATTCCCAGCGGGAAGCACGATAATGACTGTAAAAGTCTGTAGTCACCTTTTTGAACACAGCAATTCGCTCCAACAGGTCTTGTTTATTTTAACCAGTGAAAGAAACAGTTAACCGCATTTCTTTGCGTACTACTCACATTTGTGAGTAGTACCTCACCCACATTACCACTACCATTAATGGCAGTTGACTTTCGTCGCCTTCTCACAAACAAATTGTAATAATTCGGAAGCCAACAGATCACTGGTTGCTTGCTTTAATGAATTATCCTGAAAATGCAAATTAAGGACCACCCGCTTTTAATTAATTTTTAGTGCGGAACAATTAGTGCTTTAAAATTAGCTGGGGCGCTTTCCTTCTGAAACAGTGCGACGACCGCAACACTCAGTATCCAAATATTCACGAAAACTGTGAATATTATCTATACGCTAGTGTTCAGCCTAATTTTCACATTTGTGGTGTTTGTAAGCTGACTCAGTATAGTATGGTGTGGGAAACATGGATAAACGGGATGTTTAGATGTAATGTTTGAAGAATGTTTATTCTTCATGCAAT